TCTCCAAGCCTGATAAAGGTTGGTAATTGTGAACTATCTTGAAAGGCTGTGGGAGAGGAAAGGCTTTGCTGGAGATGAACTCACTGTATTAAATAAAAGGGGTTAATCGGGATGAGGACTCGGCTTTGTGCTGCTGGGGAAGCCTAGGCCAGAACACCTATTGATGTGCCAGTCAAGAGGCATGCAATTAGCCTGGGACATTGCTAAGACCCCGGAAATGCAACTTTCAGATTATGTGGTGTTGCCACATTCCAGGGGTTGGAAAAGAATCTTTGGATTTCTCTTGATTGACCAGACTTTTATATAGCACTCATCAAGTCATCCTATTCCTATTTTTTTTTGGGGGGGGGGGACATGACACTATAGGCAGATTTGTAGAACCTGGCTTTCCCCTTTATCATCCAAATGAAGGCTTCGTGCAATATACTTTCACATATAAGTCCCTCCTTCTGGTATTGACATGCAAATTGCAATGCCTGGAGGTTTAAACGAAAAACGGGAGGTTTTTAAGGAGAGATCTGACAGTCACTTATCCGAAAATGGTATAGGACAGTGTTTCTCAACCTTGGCCACTTGAAGATGGATGGACTTCAACTCCCAGAATTCCACAGCCAGCATGGAGGTTTATCTGTGTCCAGATGAGTTGAAGTCCTCACCTCTTCAAGCAGCCAAGGTTGAGAAATATTGGATAGGGCAATGAAGGCGAATCTTTTCGGCACCAAGTGCCCAAACGTGGAGCGCCGGAAACCTGAAAACCAGCTGGCCAGTGCGCGCATGCCTGTTTTTTGGCTGTTTTCAGGCTATTTTGGGGGCCGTTTTCCAGCCCTTTTCCAAGCCATTTTCAGGCCATTGTTCGGCCATTTTGGGGCTGTTTTCTAGCTGTTTTTCTGGCTGTTTTCCTGCGTTCTGCCACCCACGAAGACCACATGCACACCAGAAACCAGCACATGTGCACAGAGAGGACTCTGCGTGCCATCTCTGGCACACATACCATAGGTTCACCATCACAGGGATAGGGCCTACTGCTTGAGCAGGGGATTGGACTAAAAGACCTCCTAACTCTGTTGTTCTGTATTGTTTAAACAGGATGAGAGTTTCTGAAGCTTTTAAATTGAACCAGGCTAACTTCATTTTATACCTATGGCAAACTCATGATATTGTTCAGAGGGATGAAGAGCTTCACAGCCCCTGAAATATGACATGGCAAGAAACTTTCAAGCGACAACACATTCTCCTTGGCAAATATTCTCTTTGCAAGTACCTCATTTTTTTGGGGGGGGGGATGGAGGAGAGAGACATTATAAGGGGATTCATTAAATATTGGGGTGGGATGGGGAAGAAACTCTGTATTCTAATCCAGAGCCCAGCATAGGACAATGCCCAAACGCATTCCACGCAAGTGTAAAACACTGAATTGCAGCATTAGACAGAACTGGATGCGAAACCTCCGGAGGGGAACAAAGCTGGCTTGTCGATGCCACATCCCAGAATTGCCTTCATGAAAGCCCTTTCCTCATCCCCCCTCCTTTTTTTTCGTTTTCACGCTACGTATTTGCTTCCAGTTAGCATCCAAAACACCCTGTAGAGACAAAAGATTACACATAACCCAAAGCAAGTTACACCTTTCGCTGTCGTGCAAAAGGTGTGACCGCTGGCTCAGGTTCAGGAATTGCACTTTCTTCGTCGTCACTCAGCTTCGACTTTTTTTTTTTTGGGGGGGGGGCTCCTCTGTTTTTTGATTGTCTTGAGATAACAGCATGTAAGAAGTAGATTGAGCCACAGAAAACGAGTGGCTGATCAGCTGATCCAAATAGGAAAGGAACACCTTTCATTCCGCCCAAGAGAAGATCACCTTGAGGATCTGGTGATCTGAGAGTTTCAAGAATCCAACACTCCGCCCCGAAGCTGAGGGGGGCATCGTCCATCTAATTTAGGCTAATTTCGACGTTCAAAAATGCAGTGCAAAAAAAAGCATATGATAAGGTAACTGGGACACCTTTAAAGTTTAACCGATTTTGAAATTTACTAGCTTCTTCTTCTTTTTTTAATGTGTTTCACGTTGACAAAATATTGAATTGTGAAATCCGGAGCTTGGGGGGAGGGGGGTGTAAAAGGCAATTTGGTCCAGCTTCTGCAGGTAAACAAAGAAGATTGAGCCCTGAGGTGATGTTTCCTGGTCTGCTCAGCTTCCAGCTTTCTGTCCAGCTGTTAAGCTTCTGTTCAGCTCCACCTTCATTTCTGAGTTTGTGGATGCAGAGCTGTGGGTATCGCTGTAGACATCTGAAATGGGAACACACCAACAGTATCTTTCACCTTCTAGGTAATAAATCACCAATATAATCTTGAAGCTCTTCCTCAACTCAAAGAAGCTCACAGTACAAGTACCCTTGACTTACAACCACAATTGAGCTCAAAATTTATTTTGCTAAGCGAGGCCATTGTTAAGTGAGTTCTGCCCCGTTTTACAACCTTTCTTGCCACATTTGTTGAATCAGTGCATCTGTTAAGTTAGTAATGCAGTTTTTTTCGTAAGTGTGAAAAACAGTCATAAGTCACTTTTTTCAATGCCGTTTGTTTCACTAAATGAATGGTTGTGAGTCAAGAACTATCTGAATAAAGTTGCATTTTTTTATTAATATTTCATCACATTGTCCCTCCCCTCCCTTCTCTCCCATTCTTATCTCACTTGCAACTAAATGTACTGCACCCTCATTCCTTCAGCCCTTACATGTACTTCAGGCACGCAAGGTGGCTCTGGGCGGGTGAAAAATGGGCCTAACGGAAGTTCAGTAAGGCCGGAAACGGGTCTGTTTCTGGCCTTACTGAATTTCCGTTAGGCCCGTTTTCTGGAGGAGTCCATTTTCGCCCTCCTGGAGGCTTGAAAAAAGCCTCTGGAGCTCAGATAGGCCAACCCCCCCCCCCCCGCCATGGTGCAGGAGGTTGACTAGGCCACGCCCACCATAGCCATGCCCATACAGCAGCCGGGCAGCAAACTCCTTGCTAAAATTTTTGACGCCCACCCCTGGGTCAGGATGGATGAGGACGGATGGAAAAAGGCCTGTGGCTTATTGATGTTGTTACTAGGCGCTTATCTGCATCCCCTTTGGGATATTAATGAGTATATTACTATGATAAGGATAGTTGTTTCCAAAGAAACAATATGCCAGAATATATTTTTTTTACTACTTAAGAATGCAGAATTAAATTAGAAACATAAAACTTTGCAAATTTTGCTATGGCTTACCTGAATTGCTGATTCTACAACTGTTGTTGGCTTCACTTTCTGCTGGTTGTAACAGACTGGAAGGTATCCAGTCTGTTTTTTCCGAAACTAGCTTCTTCACTAACCTGAGTTTGGAGGGGAAAAAAATTAATTTCCTTTTTTCCCTACATTTCAGCCAATGCTGGTGTTGTATATAGCATGCAATCTTTCTAAATTAATAAAGGTAAAGGTAAAGGTTCCCCTCGCACCTATGTGCTAGTCATTCCCGACTCTAGGGAATAGTGCTCATCTCTGTTTCAAAGCCGAAGAGCCAGCGCTGTCCAAAGACGTCTCCATGGTCATGTGACCAGCATGACTAAACACCGAAGGCGCACGGAACACTGTTACCTTCCCACCAAAGGTGGTTCCTATTTTTCTACTTGCACTTTTACATGCTTTAGAATTGCTAGGTTGGCAGAAGCTGGGACAAGTAACGGGAGCTCACTCCGTTACGCAGCACTAGGGATTCGAACCGCCTAACTGCCGACCTTTCTGATCGACATGCTCAGCGGCTTAGCCACCGAGCCACCGCGTCCTTCAATATAGGATTGTAATAAAGCTAGTCCACATAAAAGTACTTCTTGCAGAAAGCGATCAGAGGTTAGGGAAATGTTCAGAGACAGGTCCAAACCAATTATAAATCCATCTAATGCCATTAAAGATTTTTTTTTCTTCCGGAGAATCACTCCTTCCTTCCTTCTCCTTCAATTTCTGTTTTTTTCAAGATTCAGCCAATAACCCAGAGGAAAGCATTTTAATTATGATTTAAAAATTGTATGAGCAAGTATATATATATCATTTACTCACCATTGTCCATTCTCTCCTTCCTGAATAAACTGCACTAGATCGCCCTCTTCTAAGGTGAGGGAGTCTGGGAAGCAGGTGTCAAAACTCCCTTCCACCCGGTATAGATTTGATCCCTAAAAAATGAATGAAACCAAGCCACAGACGGTTATTCCCAAATATAGCCAGCGGTATTTTATTGATACACTGCAAATGTTCATTAATATAAATCATGCTAGGAAAAGAGAAAGTAGGTTTCTCTTTTCCTAGCATATTATAAATATAAAGGATCTACAAATATTTGGAACAGCAATGACTACATGTTAATCTCTGTAATGGTATGTGGGAATGAACTTGGGAGACAGGAGAAAAAAAACCACAGACCAGACAATAATCAGTATCATGCCACAACATACGACCTTTATATACTGTTGTTGCCCTCTAGTCCAGTGGTGGGTTCCGGATCCCGTTGCAACTGGTACGGTTGCAATGGGGCCCAGCATGCACCACATGAATGTGCGCAGTGTGTACATGCGTACTTACCTCTTGCGACGCCTCTGTGACACTCCAGCTGCTCG